TAACTCCACTACTTTTGTTGTGATTATGAATGCAAAGATAGACACATTTTATTTAATTTTCTGTGTGTTCGATCTTTGTATTTGAGAGAAAAGCGACATCTGCGTTAGTTGTGACACCTGTAAAGGTATCGCTGCGGTGAGAAGGTTATTCAAAAATGTGTCACTAGATGCCACTAGCGGCGACATCTTCGAAAAGACAGTACAAATATCTATAACAAAAACACATAGGAGAATTTCGACCACTCGGTAAATGGATCCGTGGATCTGATGGTTAGAGCTATGCTACGGTGCAGCATGGACGTGGGTTCAAGTCCCATCGAATAGACGAAAAAAAAAATTCTGGGTGTTCGAACTTTATACTCATAATTATTATGTTATTACATTTTTCTCAACAAATACACAATGAGCAATATGCGCCTCTAATAACCTTAAGGCTTTAGTAAATAGAACAGGGTTAACATTAGTTTCATTTATTCAGACTTTTGTCATTTGCTGTGGACACAGCAGCAGTACAGGGTCATGTTACGTACCACCTTGTATATAACATTAGGATATGCAATAAAGTATTGAGTATTTTACGCCCATCACTGCGCCGACAATTTTTCGATCGGCGTACAACCCTAGGCCGGGCGTAAGGCCAACAGTATGTTCACTCGTATGGCCTATCGTTATATGTGTTTCTGGTTCACACATGTTTCTATTTAATAATCAATGAAGAACAGAACATTATTGTCGACTCTTTACATAGATTTCCTCAGCAGTTTAAATTTCCTCTCGTACTCGTAAACTCGTAACACGGACATTTTTCCTAACGTTATTTAGTTTTATGACTACCGACCTAAAAGCTTTTTGATTTAGGCGTTCGTAATGGCTTTGGCTGTTTTCTTTTTTCAATTACTTTTAAAGTCGTCCTCGTAATAATGATACGTACGGCATTTTTCATTTAAAAAGTCTAAGAGACGCAGGAATCTATAACCTAACCTCCGGTAAAAAAACCGACCTCAAAAGTCATTCATCCCCTAGTTTGCCACCCTTAGAGGTGGAATATTTTCTTGAAATTTAAATGGGACCACATCTGAGGTACCTTCTTTCCAACAAAAAAAGAATTATCAAAATTGGTTCACAAATGGCGGAGTTATCACGTAACATACATACAAACAAACAAAAAAACATACAGACGAATTGAGAACCTCCTCCTTTTTTTGAAGTCGGTTAAAAATATACAAAATAATCTTCATACGCTATTAAAGAGACACTCCTGGACTAGCCTTGTTTTGTGCCAATGGATAATTAAATTGGATTATATACCCATTTTGTATAGTGATAAGATTGGTTTAGAATTAAGGTGCATGGATAAATATAGGAAAGATTTTAGAGCAGAGTAAAATGTATAATTATGTTTAACTGAATAGAGATTATTTATTAAATCATTCAGATTTAGCTTTATGATATTACTAATTTAATGACGACATACTTTCACACATTTCTCATAGATGACGCTACGGCTAAAATGACGTTGAAAACCAAATACAAAGATCCGACAACTAGCACATAAAAAAATCGTGAGATCCGCTGGTTCGTTCCGTGGCTTAGTTGGCATAGCGTCGGACACGGTTTGCTCCGGCCGGATCGAAGGATTTTTTTCTAAGTGTTTTAATCTTTGTTTGTAACAAACCTACATTATGTAATAGGCGGCCTTAAGCCAGATTGTTCACTTTTAGTTCTCTAAGAATCCGCTAGATGGCATTGACCCATTTGGCGTTATTTCTGAATCGCGGTGTTAAGATTTTCCCTCGAATGGTGACTACTCGAACACAATTTTGTTAATGTGAAGAGAAATCTGAGAATACAGAGAGCTCAGTAAGGCAACCGGGAGTTGTGTCCCTTCTTGGGAACTGTTACCCGGATCTTCTGATATTTCGTACGCTCATATAGGGTGAAAGATTATTGCCCATCATATAGGGTGAAAAACCTCATCTCGCGGAACGGTTTCCAGGAGTCGAGTCCCTTCTGGGAACAACTACCCGGACCTTCCGCATATAGGCTGAGAAAAAACCTTCTGAACCATTTGGAGTTTCACTTGGCTTGTTTTGGTAACCTCATCCAACGGACGAAAGAATCTCCCTCCTTTACATGTTTTAATAATTATAACAAAAATACTGGAGTAGTTAAAAAAAAATTAATATAATATAATAATATTATATTTAATATATAATATAATAATAGTATTTTAAGCTTTAATTAATGTGTATGGAAATAAATGGTAATAATAATAATAATGTGGTGGGATTCTTGTGTAGTATTGCTTCCAGCACGGATACGTATCGTTTCCCGATTCTTGAACCTCGCTCCTTAACCACGGCCAACTGTGCCATTACCGTTTGTCTTATCACCGTCAACCCATTTATACTGCTGCTGACTTTTCCGAGGGTTATCAACCTTCTTCGACGTGCAGATCTCGTCACGTTGTTTATCTTCATCGAAAAGCTCTAATTTAAAATTAAATTTCACACATAATGCACTGCAGAAGAACCAATTTAGAACCTTACAATAACTCAGTTGTCGACCGATTCGATGTGATATAGTACGATTTCTTTCAATTATTATTCACAACACCCGAATCGAACGTCAAACTGTCGTATTCGAAACCGAACCGAAATGACGTCACACCCATTCGATTACTCGAACTTCTCGACCGGCAAAGGCTACAAACGTTATTCAGAACACAGTTATCGAATGACAGTTGAAAGCCCTATTGTTTCTATTTTATCTATTAAGTCTGGATTTTGTTCAATTCTATCAATTTATTTTAATGTAAGACTAAAGCGTTCCTATAAATTAGATTTTTATAATCTTACAAATGCATATAAAAGGATTTATTTTCATTTTTCTTATAATCTATATCACCGATTAACTCCATAAACTGAATAGCTCGGAAAGCGCCCTTCGATGCAATAACGAAGTCCCATCGAACCATTCGATAAAAAAATCGAAGGGTTCTGAATGGAGGTCCAGATACGAACCGAACGTAGTGAGCGAACGCGCTGGTAGTAAACCAAACAACCGTATCAATAGCCTGGTCTCTAATTAGGGAATTCCTTTTACTATGAGTACCACGGCAATGAAATTTTAGGACGCTATCAAGTATATCCAGAACAAATTCGGAAAGTTTGTTTCCCAAATTGGTCCTACGGAGAATCAAACCCAGGACCTCATCTGGTCCGCAGTGCAAACCATGAACGCCACAATTATAGTTCTCCGCTTTCACAATAATATATTTGGCGATTAAATTTAAATACCCACAAAATGGACACTATATACATTTTACTCTGAACCAACAGGTAAACCCATCAATTTCACTTCATTGTTTATTTAGTAACTATTAACCTTGTCCTGTGAGGAAGGTACAGTTTGATGTTACATACGGGACTTCGTGTTACGTTTGTAGGCCAATACCACACGCTTGCCTGCTGGATGTAGTACCTATCCCATTATAGGAATGTTTTCCCACTGCAATGGAATCGAGTTTCAGTGTATTCAGAGGTTTGTTTGTTAAGTAGAATTTAAATTCACAAAGTTTAAATTACTTTACTACAATAAAAGACAAAGGACTCATCCTTTAATTGTCTTTGTTTTACGACTTAAGGCGTATGCGCATTGCGTCCGATCCGTATCCGAGAATATACCTTCTTCGTCCAACATCCGTCAGAAGCTATTACTGTCAAAACTCGATTAAATTATAAGACGCATGATACGAATAAAGCTTCATACATGACATTGTTTTTTTATATGGTCGAGTATTACTTATTTCACAGTCATTGGTTCAGATGTAATGTCGAACGAGAACGAGATCCACAGATCCAGAATCTAGAATCCGTTCGTTAACTATGTGACCTTTCAATCAGCGTCAACTTTTGTTTTGTTTTGTTATTAAACGCATGAAAAAGCAAGTGAAATAAAGAGCTCTGAGTACACCTTGTCTCAGGAAAAACCAACTTTTGAGAGCAACAATTTTATAAAACGATGAACTACGGGAAGATAGCAAGAAATTTTATCATTAATACCGAATAATTGTGTTGAAGGTATTCTCGTATTGGGAAGACGAAGCTCGTATTTAATACGACACTAACTACGACAACTTCGGGTCGCGATTTTTCGAATTCGGAACTGATAGAAATCGATAGCAATGCACAAACGCCCTTAGCACGATACCACACATGCGTTACGCCGTCCCTAACATATAATTTCAGCGTGCCAAGTTGCTTGCGGCGGCGCGCTGTTTCAACGCACCGTGTGACATGTCATTTAGATTAAGAGCGATGCCATATGATGCGTTATGCGCTATGGATTGCGATGCCAGAGCGGTGACGATAACTTGTACTACATATTAATTAGAACTACATGGTGCGTTGAAACGGCACGCCGCGACGAAACGCGTGTACATCGGACAAGTGGCCAGGACACGAAGCGTGAAACACGTCGCGTTGTGACACCGCATTGCTCGTGTGACATTAGGGGCGTTGAAATCATAGCGTTTCGCGAACGCAATGCATAAGCAACGCCCGTGTGGCATCGCTCTTATATGTAGTACAACGCAACGTCACAACACAACACATCGTGTAGCATCGCCTTTACGCAGTCCATTAGCCCAACATTTCTATTATTCGACAACGTTTAATCCCACAATGACCAATACCCTAAAATGTCCAATATCAAAAGCTTCATTTCCCAAAAACATCTATTGTCCTATAACTTCCAACCCCACAATGTCTTAAATGTCTAATATGAAAAGGTTTATTTCAGAGAAATATCTAGTAGGCTGTAATATCCAATCCCACAATATAAGTTAAATAACTTCAAAACTAATAATAACTAAGTGATGGTTCTGAATGTCTTAATTCATTTCTGTTTTAAACTAAGAATTTATTTTTGTTTTGATTATACATAGTTTAATCCTTAGATAATCCTAAATTATGATTTGTCTATCTCTTTGCCCTCAGAGAGAGCTAAATGCCGTGGACTTCAGTGTATCAGCAGACTTGAAATATGTACTGCTCATATCAGACGTGAAGCCGGGCTGGCGGCACGGCCGGCTCGCGCGGTACCACGTCTATGACGTCATAAACAGGTACGGACGTGACAACTGTTTGCTTTTGATTTCAAATGTGAAGGTGGAAGGAAGGAGCGATAACTTATAAAAAGGTTGTAAATAACTAAAGAAATATTTATTTTCAGGTAAATTAAGTCCACAGCTGGTTAGTTCCACAACTCAATACCTATGTTAGTAAGAATCTGATCTGATCTATGGAGGTACACTTTCTCGTCTAAAAATTACCGTGTCAATGCAGTCGGCAATCATCTTAAGGATACTGTTGGTGCTCTCCAGTATACAACGTATTATTGATGTAGTCTTTTTGCGTAAAAGTCTACATTCGCGTCCGCGAACATGCCTGAAGCGTTGCAATATCGCGGGAGCATCAACCTTGCCCTAAAAACGATATTGGATCCGCAAGGAATTGAAAGACCTCTGCCTAAAATTAGCCCACATCCCGTAATATAACAGTTTCGGAATCACGAACAAAATATTTCTAAACCATTCTTAACTCCCGATCCAAAAAAGGGGCAAATATAGGTTTGAAGCCTTTGCCAGTGTACACTGGCAACACACAGGTACGTGTACACTGTGTGTCTTAGTTCCGAAACGGATGGACTATAATCACAGAAGCAGTTTTTTTTATTTGAAAGCTAATGTAACAGGTATGGTTCTTAGTTATGTTTTATGAACGTCTGTTCAGCTGTAGAAATTTGTAGTGGCTTTCGGCATTTGTTGCCGCTAGTGACATCTGGTGAAAGATTTATTAAACCTTCTGACCGCAGCCGGTACCTTTACAGGTGCCTCAACTGACGTAGATTTTCGCTTGATCAAATGTACCTGCTATTGTCGACCACCGTGGTCGAGTAGCTTGCACACCGTTTTTATGGTGTCGCCATCTCGATTCCCTATATTGCCTCGGGTCTGGGTGTTTGTGGTACCATCGTTGTTCCCGATTTCCATAACACACGTGCTTTTGGGCTACTTACTTTGGGGTTACAGCAGCTTATGTGCTGTTGTCTAATATTTATTTATTACTATAGAGATTTTTTGTAAAATAACTCCACTAATTTTTTAAGAAAAATGTTGCGTTTGGGCACATTCATGTAAAATATATAGAACATATTTTAAAAAAAAAACAGAACGAAAACACACCAACTTAAAAATTTTCAACAAGAACTTCCAATAAAATTTGTTGGTGGTTTGTAGGTATTTACAGGCTCTATTTATCCGCAACTTTATCCTGCCAAAGTTAATTAAAGTAGCTTCAGGAAACTTAAAACTGCAGCTGGAAACTCAACTTGTATCGAGTTGCTGTGTTACGAGGTTGCTTGGAGCAGCAGCGACCTACAGGGGATGTTGTGTTGATGGGAGATGTTATGTGTATCGTACATTCTTTTCTAAAACCGTTATTTAATAGTAAATACCAAAACCATTTCATATAGCAAAACAGTTTTTCCCGCTTCCCCTGCGGTGACCCGCCTTAACGATATGCATTATGCACAACTACCTTTCCACGCACGTGTTCCCGCTCGACGCTAGTTCCTTCTTTGTTCACTCCACGTGACCCGCATTTATTAATAATAAAATTAAAATCCCTAGTCCGCTTCTGCAACTTGCATGTTGCACTAAAGTGTTGCAGGTGTGTTATTGCAAAGTTTTCGTATTTTACGCTTTGTACTTTTCAAGATCGCTATGAAAACTTGGCCTTTATTTTCATGAAGCTAAAATTAGCAAAAAATATAGGCAGATAGGTTTTTGTAAAGGAAACGCGCCAAAATGTATTTTTAGTGGCATATGTTGTTATTTCGAACGCTCGCGGTTTCTATTCAAGACCGGGGAGTTTGTTTCCTCTTTATTTATGTTTTCAACGCCACGTAAATGCGGCGAAAGAAGAGCTCCTACTATAATTAGTGTTCAATTGTGACACCACAAGAACATTTTTCTATTCTCTGCGAGGGGGCGCAGCGTTCGACGCCGACTGTGACGTGATGGATGACGTGGTCCGTGGGTTTAATCATTCCAGAAGCACTCTCTCATCTTTCATCAACGACGCCACATCGATCGTTCATTTCGATCACAATAGTCTTACGGGCGTCATATTATTAATAATAAATTGTGCTCAAAATTAAGTGAATGTAAAGGATCGCATTAAATATCACGTATCACGCATTGAGAGCTTTTCAAAATAATGTTAATCATTATATACTGCCCTCCTTGTCATAACAAATGTATTATTTGCATTTCGGTAACTTGCGACGTATTGGCACCTAAAGTTTTCTTTTTCTTTAATGGCGACACTTCACATGGCTACTTGGATTCGCTGTGGGTGCTTGATGTTCCTGGAAAAATATATGACGTGCAAACACTGACAAATGTGATTGTCTACACATGGAGCGAAATGAGGAGTTAAAACAATGAATATGACCATAGTGTGGACGGTTAGCTGGCGTATTTGGTTCCGTTGAAGTGCGGCGAGAAACCGGGCAGCGCGCGGTGACGCGAGTTTGGTGTTTGCTGAATTTGTCTAATAGACAAGTGATTGTTAAAATATAGTCAGTGTTGAAATACAAATAGCCATGTGACACAGTGCTCCCATAAAAAGTGCCATGCAACCTCAAACGGCTTTGGTAGATTCCGCAAAACAGCAAGAGTGTTGAATCGATCCCTTTGGAAAAAATATATATTAAAATTGAGGATATATCCTGATTACTACACGTTGAGAAATCACGATGCCTAAAAATGTTCACGATAGAAAAAGAACACTAACTTACCTCGAAATTTTATATATGTATGAAATCTAGGAATTGTATACAAATCCTAGGAAATGTATACAATTCCGAAGCTATCTAGGAAATGTATAAAATATTGTTTCAAAAACTATTAGTTACATAAATGTCCTAGAAAATGTGTACAATTCCTAGGAATTGTATATAATTCCAATATCGTATTAGGAAATGTATAAAAATAATGCTTTCTGTAATAAAACACGTTGTTAAAATGAGAATAATATTTTTTATTAAAGCACTCATTGCCCAGAGGGACTAATCTGATTCGTTTCTGGGAATGTGTCTAATATCCGTGCGATTTTAGGAATTACATACATTTCCTAGGAATTGTATACAATGACGGATTACATACATTTCCGGTAACATATATACCAATTAAATAAATTTACATAATATACCAATTAAATAAATTTACATAATATACCAATGATATTTTATATCAACTGAACTAAACAGAATACGATATACGTTTTTCAAACGGCTTTAATGTCGTTTATAAAATGCCATGATTTTAATTCGACCTTTCGGGCCCACAGGAATAAGATTCCTGTATCTCCCGACGAGGACGACCGTTCAGCCCCCTTGCTGCAGTACGCAGAGTGGTCCCCCGTCGGCTCCAGCCTGGTCTTCGTTCACGACAACGACATTTATTACAAACCGAGGGTTTTGAAGACACTAGTCTGCCGTATCACTAAAACTGGTAAGGATTTTGAGCATTAACGTAATAGACCAATATCTCAAGACGACTGCTAATTTCCATACATATAGTATACGATATATCGTGACTCATAAAAAGGTCAAGGTCCCGTCTTATACCTAAATAACACTGCTCGATAACCTGGAAGTAGATTATTTTATTGAAATGCCCGTGTATACCAATTGATTCCTCTTTAATATGAAATACTATGCGTATCAATAGATGGCGTTGTGTTACAATGTAATTTATAAATTAACGCTTGCTAATGTCGGTACATTGCGCTCATCCTAAACAAAAAAAAATAATTACCGGCACTATCCATAAAAATCCGTTAAATAAGCTCTATCTAGTTAATTTGTTTATTATCACTAGAAATTAGAGTAGTTTTGATAAATTGCAGGTTGTCAATGTAAAAATAAATTGTACAAAACATTGACTTACAATTATATGGACGTCGGGTCCGCGCTAAAAAGTGTCCGAACTTATAGGGCGTTAAAATCGTATACAGAGCGTCATTCACGCTTTAGTCTTCGTTTGTTTCTTCTGACAGCGAAGCAAGCAAAATTAGACAGTACTGCGATGACATTACAATTTAAATTCAACGTTTTAGCTTTTTCATATTCCTTTACATGTCACTACTTTTAAACAGGTTGACTTGGGACATTTTTTTCGTGGTTTTTGTATTAGACCCGTCGTCCATTTATTTGTAAGTCAATGGTACAAAAAGAGCATCTGATTCTCGTCGCGACGTCTGGTGTACCAATAGGTACTAATTAATACTCGACTACACTGTCTTGTATAGAGGTGAATGTTTAAACGAAAAGCACTTAAATAAATCTCAAAAATCATCTCCACCCGGGGCTGGTAGCTGTAAAGCCATCTAACTGGGTAACGAAAAATCGTAGATTTCTCATAGATGGCGCTACGACTAAAAAGTCGTTGAAATTCCTAATATAAAGATACGACGCAGCACATAAGAAAAATTTTCGTTGTTCCGCGGCTTAGTTGGTATAGTGTCTGGCACGGTGTGCTAGAAGACGTCGATTCGAACCGGCCGGATTGAAGGATTTTTTTCTGAGTGTTCAATCTTTGTATTAATAATTATAACAAACTAGTGGAATAATGTCACATGAAAATAATTGAATGTCAATTCAATAAAAAATTAATTTAGTTTCTTTACGTGCTTACGTCTTAAATCCCGCCATCCATGTTTCCTAAACAAATTAATTCGACAATGTGAATAATAATTTTATAAATAAAAACAAAACTCGTGTTTACGAGTAAACTTACTTATCTTAAAATCTTTGGTCTACTCTTGCTTTTCGCTATCAATCCAACGTTGCTAGCTTTTTTTAACATAAAAATCTCGTGGGAGTAAGTATGCGCCTAAACGTTTTTCTAAACAATTCTGTAAACATATCGAGTTCTTAGGTTTTCGCGATTGTTACACATAGGAAATGAAACTATTTTTCCGGATTTAAGTCGCGTATTGACCAACCGTGTTCACGGTCAACCGTGACAATGGGACCTGTAAAGGGCCCGAAACGTCGGTTTGTTTGAAAAAACAAATATACGCGATTTAAATCCGGAAAAATAGTTTCATTTACTATAATTTTGTAAGCTTCAAATAAAAAAGCGTTTAAGTGAAAAACACGCTTTTTTAAAAAAAACACGACGTTAACGTTTAATAAAATAGGCAGTTTTTCCCATCTCAAGTCTTGTATCGCGATTAGCAAGCCTCTTGAGTGGTCCATGAATATACTAAAGAGACTAAAGATCAAATTCATTATATTTCTACATCAAGCATTTGCTTAGTTGTAATATTTTTATTTCTGTGCCAAAGTATAATCTGATGAATATTAAATGTCCTTGAACAAAAGTTGTTGTTTGTGATGTCAGTTATAGTCTTACGAGGTGGTTAACATTTTGCAAATAATATAATCACATTTCAGGAAACGAAAATGCCTTTGACACAACTACTAAAAGGAATTTTAATTGAAATTGTTATTTTCTCTTATATGTGTAGCAGCGACAGCTGTAATTTTTGAAAAAACTAAATGTTTTTTGTGAAATATATCCAGGACTTTCGAACCGATATAGCTGTTAGAGAATACCTGACTCTTTTCAATGTTCACTTCTTTAAAATCGTGCGTCGTCTTAGCAATTTTACTTTGGAACATATCTATTTTTATTTGTCAGAAAACATCTTATTCCGATAACTAAATAAATTGGTTGATGGATTAAATATTTTTCCATAATTATATTTCTTATTTCTGGTTTAAGCTTTTGGTTTCGTGGAAATTTGATATCTCATTAATATAAAGTGACCTTTGTAACTCACGGGTTTCATTAGTACAAAAAAACTTTTCACAAATTTAAATATATACCTAACCATAATTAGATCTATCTAACTTAGCTATGATCACTTACAATTATAGGCTTCTTCTCTGACACCGGTCATTCCTGACAATGGCCACAAAGAGTCGTTGACTTTCTTCGATATAGTCTGTGTCCGCTACATAGTTCTCTTTCAAGACACGAAAAATGTCTGATTGACATATTTCGCCGTAATACAGAGAACCATCAAATTTTTGTATTTATCATAATACCCGCATCTTCTGTAAACTTCAGGTGTGCCGGGTGTAATCTTCAATGGCGTGCCCGACTTCCTCTACGAGACGGAAGTGCTTCGCCTGGACCGAGCGCTATGGTTCAGCCCGGACGGACAGACCCTAATGTACGCCACGTACAACGATTCGCTAGTACAACAACACAAGTACTCATGGTACGGGCTGGACCAACAAGAGCCACCAGCCTATCCTAGTATAAAGGCTCTGAGGTATCCTAAGGTAAGATCCCGTTGCAATGGAAAGCGGACAATATGATTTTATAATAAGCGCCTAAATATACCTATCCCTAAAGTTTTAGAATACAGCAATAAGAAAAAATTCTAGACTTATTCTCTTGTAATCCAAACTTCAGCCAGTTATTTTAAAAATGATTTGGATTTACTTTACGAATTTTCCGACGTTTTAGATTATATAAAAACAAATATGCTAAAGATAACCAAATAAATTGGTAAATAACTTTGGTAAACTGAGAATTTTGCTGACGCATTCAACATGTTGTAAAGTATATCGCCGACAAAGTCGAAGTTAGTAAAATTAACAAGGTTTTAACAAGTTACAAACCATGCGAAAACCAAATTAATCTGTTGTCTTCGGGACAAACTTTTGGGACGAATTTCGCAAGACACACGAAACTACGATAAGCAATGGGCCAATCTATTTTGTATTTATCTTAATTATCAGCAAACTTCTTCTGTAAGTGTCCAAACAGTGGCCCTTATCGGAAATTTACAAAGTCTTTGGAAAGGGTAATGATTAATGATGAAAGGGTAATAAATAGCTTCATAAGAAAATCATACTTTTTCACTTTGTTATGAAAGAAACATTCAGACAGAATATCTATTCATTTTCAGGTGAATTCAAACAACCCAGTGGTGACGGTATACGTTGTCAGTCTGAAGATTCCTAAATTTCTATTCCCACACGCCATACAGTTCACCTCTCAGGTTGACAAAGGTAAAATAAAAGTTTTAGTCACTGGTGCGCTTAGCTCGTTCGGCCTTAAATACCATAATTGCCCATACAGCGTTGTCCAGCGAAGGATTTCCTATGACACAATGTTTCTTCTCACATCATTACAGACTGGTACGTGCGTTGGACATCCTGGATATCGGAGAGGCAGGTGGCCGTGCTGCTGCTGAACAGACCGCAGAACGTTTCCATCGTCAGCCTCTGTAACGCTGCTACTTACAACTGTCAGGATGTACGTCGTATTCAGAAACTCGATCTTGCCCATTTTTAACCCCTGAATCAAAATTGGGGGAATTATAAGTATAAAACTTTTGTTTGTGTATCTGTCTGTGACATCGTAGCTCCAAAACGGGTTGCCTGACCTTGAAGTCACACACAGTAGCTTCAAAACGGATACACTGACCTTGAGGGACTTGGCCCGCTTTAAAGCGGGTTTTTTTCGTTTGAAGACCATTTGATCACACATTTTAATCAAGATGATTCTCCGCTATACTTGATAAATATCTGTTCAGATGCTTAAAGTTAAATAAATAACGCACACAAACATAGCACCGCACTAGGGAAGCCCTGTGTCGCGGGTGCCATGGACACAGACATAGACAACCACAAATTACACCAAAATCACGAGAGAAATAAATGTAGGCCATACAAATATTTCTCCTGACCCGGGAATTGAACCTGGGACCTCTGCGTGGCAACCCGGCATGGTAACCGTTCGGCCACGGAGGCAGTTGAGTTCATCAGGTCTTTTGCCAGTTAGTGTAGTAGGATCTCGGCCATAAAATGAATAGTATATATTTTATTTTCACTTGGCTGATCGAATTGAAATTTGGTATACTTTTTCAACCCGATGACATTACAAGAATACGGTAACCGCGACCTGATGCTGCAACCAGGACAGTTCGTGGACTGCCCAGGTCCTCAACTACAAAACGTCGTGTTTGGGCTCATTAAATTAATCTCGACTAGTAGTCGGCTTGCAGACAGTGACTACAGCCTAATGATGAAGCAGGAAGGTGGACACAGGAATCTGTAAGGAGCCTGACCGTCCATTTCGACATCTTTAACTCCTTCATTTTCACCACCTAGGTCGCTGAACATGGGCACTACTTTCGTAATAAGATAAATTAAATTTCAGAAAATACATTTAATGCATAGAAACCTTCTCTATCTACCTGCTTTTCCATCTGGGCCAAGTCAACGACACCAGTAGTTTGTCAATACAAAGCAAATTTTTCAACAGATATACCGTGATGAAACTGACGGCACTCGGTGGTCAGGCCTCGGCGCAGAACCCGTAGAAGATGACTGCGGGTGGTGCAGAGGAGGAGCCCTGGTCGGGGGTCGAGGGGGAATCTTTACGACAGCCCCAGTGACCGACCAACCAGGGACGTGGAGACATGCGGTCAAGATCAGTCAGGATGCGAGGACGCCGCTTACGCAGGGCACCTTCGAGATTACGCAATTGGTAGGGTGGGACGAAAGGAGACGTTTTTTGTGAGTATAGCTTCCGTTTTAATACTTTTATTGTTATAGCCGAGTTCCACTGTTTACTGTGCTAAACAAAGCTCGCTATAAAAATTGTAATCTTGATAGTAGGTTTTTATATGTAGCAAAGCGTGTTTATTGTTTTGGCGTAAAATGTAGAACGGAGATGATACATTATTTATATTGGAACCTTGGATTAAAGTAAATAAATAGGAATGAGCACTTAATTCAGTCGATAAAAACGGAATTACATTGACACACTTAAGTAGTAACAATTTAAGTAAATCCTAACAAATTACGTGAGCTGTAGTCCATTTTTGTCAATAATAATTTTGAATTTCTTCCAGATATGTAATAGGCACTATCCCCGACAAAGCGCGGCAAGGCGAGCGTCACTTGTACAGGGTGCAAGTCCCCCTCGACCCGGTAACGTGGCCTGAACCGCCTCTTTGCCTGACTTGTCCTGACGCTGAAGCTTTGGTCGCCGACAGCACTATGGAGACAAGTAACGACGACGCGGTAAGACAATTTTAACACTTTTATTTTATCGATCCAACCATTGACTTACAATTATATGGACGTCGGGTCCGCGCTAAAAAGTGTCCGAACTTATAGGGCGTTATAATCGTATACAGAGCGTCATTCACGCTTTAGTCTTCGTTTGTTCGACTGACACCGAAGCAAGCAAAATTAGACAGTACTGCGATGACATTACAAATTTAAATCAACGTTTTAGCTTTTTCATATTTCTTTAAATGTCACTACGTTTAAATAGGTTGACTTGGGACATTTTTTTCGTGGTTTTTGTATTAGACCCGTCGTCTATTTATTTGTAAGTCAATGGATCCAACTGACGATCGTAAACCCAATGCCGAAGTTGAGTTGTTTATTATCGTCATCAACCCATTAAACATAGTCCGCCATTTTGTGTCATTCGTTGGGGGCTTCTCCATCCATTCAAACTTTATGAATTTCTGAATACCAAGTACGTTATGATACTTCCATAAAAACATTATTATCTATTCCAGGAGTTCGACAACGGGACATCATCTCTCCCTGCCTGGCCGACCTCCACGGTGCTTCCTCACATCGCTGATGAAAATGATACCTTGCCGACTGTGTGTCTTTATAACAGGGTCATATTTAGCAAGAACTTCTCTTACTATGTTCAGGTTAGCGGATACTGTAATTGTATAGTTACGTAAAATAAGGGTACTTAAACATTATTATCATGTTAGACAGTAAAAGCGTTAAGATTTATTCCCTTGCCAGGAATGCTTGGGTCCCGGGCCGCCTGCCTACTTCCTGTGCACGGCAGCAGGCGTGCGCAAAGCCGTGTTGTGGGACGGACAACCATTACGGCAGAAGTACGCCGCTCTAGCTGCGCCGCAATCCAAAGTTTTTAGGGTTGAGGTAAACTTGAATAAAACGACAATACGATAGTACCTCCAAGGACCAGATGTTTCCAATTAATTTATCTATAAATGCTAACTATGCCTTGTCCTGTCTTTTGCCGTCATGTTAAAATTTGTTAAACAATATTTTGCTTTGAGAGAATTTTGGATTTGACATTTAAACCAAAAATGTATGTACATTAATTCCTGGTGTGACAAGGATTCAGCCCTCTAATTTGGTACAGGTGCAAGCTGACCGTGAAGCTCGTGTACGCCTGTATTTACCACCGGGATTTAGAGAAACGGATGATTTACCGTTGCCGTTGGTGTTGCATGTGTAAGTTACAATAATTATTGTCCAAATCTATTGTCATTCAGAATTTAAGCATCGTGACTTTAATATTCACCGTCTTTTTGGTAATTTTAAATTTTAACAATAAAATCAATACAAACTAGCGCCTTTAGAAATAATAAAACAATATTTGCAGATCCGCCAAACCCGGAGGTCAGTTAGTAACTGAAAGATGGAAACCGGACTGGGGCTGGTACCTTGCTGCAGCTAGGAACTTTATCGTTGCTGAGATAGATGCTAGAGGCGCCGGAGGTCAGGTAAAGTTATTTACAAATCTTGCGAAACGAAACCAATGTGACATTTCTAGGATTAATTATAGACCAAAAGATGAATTGGAGGGAGCAAACGGACAAAGTATGTGCTAAAATAAATAGGTTTGCGTTTGCTCTTTACAAATTGTCAAAAGTAGCGAATAAATGCACAGCCAGGACTGCCTATTTTGCGTATGTTGAGTCTGTACTCAGATACGGTATCGTAATTTGGGGCAACGGAACAGATTTTGCGAAGGTTTTTATTGCTCAAAAGCGATGTATACGTGCCATAAGCAATGTAGCACCGTATGTCTCATGTCGTCCTCACTTTAAAACACTAAGAGTATTGCCCCTCCCATGCCTGTACATTTTCGAAGTTGGTATATTCGTGAAACGAAATCTATCGAAATTCTTAATAGCGAAGGACGTAAC